AAAAATTCAAAAAAATTAAATTAAAATTTTCCAAAAAAAGGGAAATTTTTTGTTTTCACGTACACGTGCAATGAAAAGCCACGTGCGTATTTATTGAGTGTGAGACACAGCGGACAGAGAGCGCGCAGTCTGTTTAGGTCTCGGTTGTATTTTATTCGCAAAAGAAGTGCGAGGTGAACGACTTTGTATTAGCCATTGAAAGGTGAACTTTAACGCAGTCATGTAACCCCAAAGCTTCTTATTGTTTTTTTTCGAAAGAAGAAAGAAAGAAAGAAAAAAAAAGCCTTCATCAATTTTTTATACTTGGTCATTGCATCACCTCCATAATTTACCGCGTTCACTAGACAGATTTTCCTTTTTGAAATTCAAATACGCGTCAAAATAATATTTTCCCAACTCTCGCGTATAAAATTTCAAAAAATTTTCATAACTTTTATTAAATTATTATATTTAAATTTTTTTCCGCGAAAAAAAAAGTTCCGAATATAAATAAATAAACAATCGGTATTAAATAATTCGGTAAATTAATCAATTTAATTATTAATTAATTATTTACTATTATTATTAATTAATAATTAATTTAATTAGATTACTACTATTTTTGTAAATAAATAAACACTTGGTATTAAATAATTCGGTAAATTAATCAATTTAATTAATAATTAATTAATTACTAATTAATTATTTACTATTATTATTAATTAATAATTAATTTAATTAGATTACTACAATTTTCGTAAATAAATAAACACCAAATTACTATTCGGTGTTAATTAACCTAATTAATGATTAATTAATTATTTATTACATTTATTTATTTATTATTATTAATTAGCAATTAAATCAGTTAATTAAATTACTATAATTTTTGTGAATAAACAAACACCGAATTAACATTCGGTGTTAATTAATTTAATTAATAATTAATTACTTATTTATAATTGTTTATTTCAATTATTTATTTTTTATTATTAATTAATTTAACAATTAATTTAGAGAAATTAGTTGATAGAATTTCTGTTATTGTTGTCAATAAATAAACACCGAATAAACATACGGTGTTAATTAATTCGGTAAAATAATTAACTTAATTAATAATCAATTAATTATTCACTAATATTATTAGTGATTAATTAATTTAATTACATTACTGTTGTTTTTGTAAAAATAAATAAACACCGAATTGACATTCAGTATTAATTAATTTAGTAATTTAATAATTAAATAATTATTGTTCATTACAATTATTTATTTATTATTTTTGTAAATAAATAAACATTAACATTCCGTGTTAATTAATTTAATTAATAATTAAATATTTATTTGTAATTATTTATAAAGCTATTTATAATTATTTATTACAATATTATTTATTTATTTGTTTTTAATTAACAATTAATTGAAATAAATTAGTTAATACATAGTTAATAGAATTTCTATTATTTTTGTAAATGAATAATTATCTAATAAACATTCGCTGTTAATTACTTCGGTAAATAAATTAATTTAACCAAATTTTCTCCACAATTTCAATTTTTTTTTTCGTAAAAATAAATAAAAAATTGCAAGTAATATATTTTTAAAAGCCAACAGGTTAATTTTTCAATTAATATCTTTCATCGTTTACTTTTTTCCAAAAATTTTTTTTTGTGTGAATTACGCAATTGGACATTATCGTGGCACGTGATAAAAATGTTAAATAGCCAAGATATGACGATTCAATAATAATAATAATAAAAATAATAATAATAATATAGAAAGAGAGGAGAGAAGGTATTTTAAGGACGTCAAAACGATATTAATGCTGACGGTGATTTTGAAATTGCGGCAATGATTCTGGCGGAAGTTGTCTCTCGCGTGTTTATATTAGCTTTCCCTATATAATGTCACGAGTCAAGGGCCGTTCATTTTTTTTTTCAATTTTTTTTTCTCTATTATATTCCTAACTGGTATTTAAGAGTTTTGCGAAGAGGGAGAGAGAAAATTCTGCGCAATGACCAAACCGATTTCATAATAAATTTAATCCAATTAACTTGAAAGCGATGATAAATTGAACATTATAAGTTACAAATTATAGCAATAAACATGACACACACACACGTCTTAATTAATTGTCCATCTATAATCAATAATTTAAGTAATTTATTCAAATTCCGTTGAGAATTATTTCTTTTTTTTTAATTAACTTGCATAATTTTTATTGTGTTTTTTCATTATTTATTCTTTCAATTATTTGGCAGATTTTTAAGCTGTTAATCTTTTTTTTTTTTTTAATAATACTATTACTATTACTTTTGACAATTTATATTTACTATTATTATTTTTTTATATTTTCTATTAAAATTTTTATTAAACAATTATTTACTATTATTTATCAACAAATAATTATTTTCCCTTTTTTTTAAATTTTTTATTGCAACAAAATTATAACACTCGGCATTGAAAGAAGAACAAATTTTATTTGCTATATAATGAAATTTCAGCTTCATAAAAAAAAATAAATATATAGACATTACATTTTTCCAGGCACAAAAATATCTCGAGATAATTGATTTATCTATAAAGAACGACGTCGAAATTGATTTTCTTGGATTGCTAATTATTGATGTGACAGTACTGACCTCAAGATATTTTATTCCAGAGAAATGTATTGTTACTATTAAATAAAATTTTAATAAGTATTTTTCACTCTATCATCGCGAGAATTAATTTAGGGGAAAAAAATTCAAACCAATTTAAATAATTTCTATTTTCTTTTAATAAATAAATAAAAATAAATTTCATAAATTACAATTAATTACTATTAATTATTATTATTAATTATTACTATTGATTCAATATATTGATTCAATTATATTGAAAAAAATTATTAAAATACAAATTTGTATTTTTCTTTGTTTATTTGCATTGATTTTAACGAATAATTTATCGGTGGAAAATAAATATATAATTATATTTATCAGTATTTATAAGGTGAACGGAACGAAAAAGAAAAATGGAGGGGGAAATGAATTTGCACGTAAAAGAGAGAAAAATGTGGAAAAAAGTGTGTATATAATCTAAAATTAATACCATGACAGATATTGATAAAGCTCTTGTTACTAGACTAATTAAAAGGAAGACTTTATGTCCTATGCGAGTGAAACACGAGAGACAGAAAGCTGATTAATTGATAACTGCAATCATCCTTCATGACTTTAGCGAGAGAGAGAGAGAGAGAGAGAGAGAGAGAGAAAATTATTCTCGCAAAAGTTTCTACGAAGTTTAAATTTCAGAAATATGTTTAAATTTATAAAATATTTTTGGAAACATGGAGAGCGCCAGAAATTGTTGACATTAGACAATAATTATTTTCAAAATAGAAAGTGTCTCTAAATCCAATCGTTTATATAAAACAATTAAAATGATAAACAACTGTATTAATTATTATTTTTATTATATTAATTTTATTTCTTATTTCATTTCTTTTATTTATTTTTTCATTTTTTATTTATTTCCATATTTTTTTATTTATTTCTATATTTATTTATTTTATTTACTATTTTATTTATTTCTGTATTTATTTATTCATTTTATTTACTTGTTTGTTTATTTATTAGTTTATTATTAGAAAAAATTGCGCAACGAAATTAATTTCCAAAAGGAAGAAAAAATGCGAATTTTCCAAATATATTTAAAAACTGACAGTTTGATTATTATATTAGTGAATAAAAAGAGAGAAAGTTCTATTAGTTGAAAAAATATTCTAAAACTGTTCAACATTATCTTTTGTCTTCTATTTTTATCAAGTTGTTAGCAAAATAAAAATAAACTTTTTTTTTTTGCTTATTTGCAAATTAAACAATAAGTGCCTTTCAGGAGATAACAGTTGTGCAACTGTTAACTTTTCCCAGAAAACTCTTTGAATATCTGATCTCTCATGTATTCGATTCACTTATAAAGCAAACAATTTATTAAAATAAAAATTAAAAAACAAATTATCCCTCTGCAATGTACACATTTCATTTTAAAAAAAAAGTTAATGGAGAAAAAAATTGAGAAAAAGGTTAAAAAAATGTTTACAAAAAAGAAAATTATGTCAACAAAAAAAGAGTCGAAAAGTTTTTCTCGCAAAAGAGGGAGGGAAAAATGTATTTTATATACTTGTTTTAAAAAAAATGTTTGATTTCATGATTGTCGATATATATGAGAAAAACAGGTTAAATCAATAAAACAGATTTGTTATTTGATTTTCTGTAATGATCATTCATTGCAACAGACATTCGCATTTAATTGACATTTACAGAGCAGAGAATCAGCAATAAACAAACAAATTGAGACAAAAAAGAAAAAAAAATTTTCGAAAAATATAAACATTACTGCACAAATATTCCTAATTGATTATTGAACATTGTTAATTGTTTAAAATGTAATAAAACTCTTTTCTTTATTAAACTGTATAAACACACATCAAACTATGTAATTAATTATTGTACATTTTCTGACACAAAACTGATAAATTAAAAGATCAATAGATTTCAAAATTAAATGCACATCACATTTCACTATCAATCATATCATTTTTTTATCAGTTTAGAATGTTTTTTTCAAATTATATTTTACCTTGTTTAATATATTAAATAATATAAAAATAAATAATAATAAATAATATAAAAATAAATAATAATTGTAAATAATATTAATACCTTGTTTCAAATATTTTAAAATAAAAATTGAAAAAATGGATTATCTGCCAAGACAGAAAATGCAAATCAAAGTAATTAAAAATTAAATTAACTTTGAGAAAAATGAGAAAATTCATGAAATTCAAATGTGGATTAGCGAAGTACGGATTAGTAATAATAAATTAATAATAATGCGAGATCTGTCAGTTAAGCTTCTTAAGTGTCGCGAACTACGAAAATAAAATTATAACGAATCAATAAAATGAATTTGACGGGAATAGTAGAAAAAATGAGGTTAAGTTGACTAAAAATTTTTATTGCAGAAAAAACACTAACCTTTAAGCTGAGGAAGTTGCTGAAGTTCCACCTCTTGAGAATTTCTGTACCGGGATGATCCTTGTGACCTTTTCGACTTCTTCTTCAACGACCTCTTCGCGAATGGATCTATTCGATCCACAAAAGTCCCGGACATTCTGCTCGTCTCAGGGGTAGCACCACTCCCGGACAATCTCCTTCCCAATCCTTCTTGCTCCAGCTTATTTCCTTTTTTCCCTGTTTTCCTCCTTTTTCCTACCACACTTTATTCCACTCCCTTAAACTCCCGACAATCCTCTTGTCATCAACCGCATTCCTTTGGATGAAAATTTACACACACTTCGCGAGAAAAGAAGAAAAATTGTGCGAAAACAAAAAAAATCTTTCTCTCTCTCTCTTGACAAGAAATACACTTCTTCGTTTGTGGAAAATTCACTAGAAAAAAAATAACACTTTTTTTTCTTAAGGCCCCCCTTGTGTCGACACCTTAACCTCACTTTATTCCAACCACTTTAAGCGAGACACGATTCTCAATCGAACAACACACAACCTCGTGGTTCGACGAAAAGGTCTTTTGAAAAGCCGGGTCAGATCACCACCACCATTGCAGACGACCTCCTCGCCGTCGGGCTAAATCCGTCCCAAAATTCGAGGCTCCGAAGAAAGGCGTTGTCATACACGCACGCACGCACGCCCCGTCATATACGTCGCGACGCCTTTTTTCTAAATGTATGCGTCGAATTTTCCACTAACTAAAAAAGCATTAAAAATTACCAAACAATAAAAAAGTTTGGAAAAATATCTCCCGTGAGTGAGGTAAAGTAAAGTCCGCCGACAAGATGAAAATTCCCCGTCCAGGAAGCCAATCAATCTTTGTGTGTGTCGCTGGTGTCCAATTCGCCCACCACCGACTTTTCTCTCGCCAAGCAAACACACGAGGTAGACAAGTTATTTCATCACCGGGAATTCGCAACTATTATGTAATAAAATTTTCTTTTACAAATTAATTCCAAATGGAAGTGAAAAATCGAGACACGCTTCTTCTCTCTTTTTTTTTGTCGACGGACAAATTTTTGCTGGCTGGACTTCCTGAGGGAGGGGGCGGTGGGGGAGTTGATTGGACAATTATTTTCAACACCGGGTTTCACAGTAAAAATGCCGGGGGTTTAAATATATTTTTTTTTACTTTCCCCCGTCGCGAAATCCCCGTGAAAATACACACACGAAGGAAAATAAGAGAGACGAGAGTTTTTGATTCACGTCGTCGCCGTCACCACCGACACCACCACGAGCACCATCGAACCACACTTTTCTGCCGAGCACTTCACACCACACACACTGAATTATAATTCTTCCTCTTCGTTTCCGTGGTTCCTTTTTTTCTTCATGCACACATTCGTGGATCGCGATAACTGCGTTTGTTGAAAGGGTCGATTCATTATTTTCTCTTTAACCCTATTTTAATCTGGTGTGAGGAGAATTTTTCTTTTTCGAGAATAATATACAAGGAACGACACTTTTAGGGAGTTGAGACGCGCACCATAGCGGGTCACCAGTCTCTCGCTGTTAACACCGTCTTTGTCGAGAGGCGGGGGATCAAAAAATCTACCGGCACGAAGGGAACACTGACCTCGTCACGAACGAGGATTTCACTCGAGGATTATTTAGAAAAAAAACGGGTCCGTTTCGCGTAACGTCGGCCTCGTCGTCGTCGTCAGTCGCCCTCTTCACCATTCACTTATCAAAAACCCGTCAGGAGGTGCTATGCTTGTGCCTGAAAATAGTAATGTCTAATGTGCGTACAGCGAGTCACGAAGTCTGCCGGAGTTGTACGAGCAGGTGTACCAATCTGCGCGGGAATTTTGAATATCAATTTCCAACTCTTTCTAATTGAGTCAAGAAATAAAAATAGACGAATGTTTATATATTTTTAAGACTAGATAACTTCTTAAACACATAATAAGTACAATTATAATAATTACACCTTAATCTTAAATACCATTTTCGGATATTTTCTGAATTCTAATTTTCGAACCAGAAAAAGTTCAAACCGTTCAAACATTGCGATCTGATTGGCTGAGACTCGATTACGGTTGGCAAACCTGAAAAATGGCTGCCAATCTTGTGAAAAACGAAAACAACTTAAACAAACCCTTTTTATAATCGTTTTTCCCTTTGTTCCCCCTATTCTTCTTTTTGAAAAAAAATATTGACTCCGGAAAATCTATTTTTTACACTACTTTTTTGAAACTTAAAGAAAAAATATTATTTTACCAAAATTTTTTTCTAGTTTCGAAAAACATCCGCCAGAGGGACGAGAGAGCAAATAAAATTTCCATAACCTCTCTCTCACTTGTCAAAAAGTGAAATTCTAGATTCTTATATGTAAATAATTTTTTTTTATCATTAGACGCACTAATTTTTATCATATATGAAAATATCGAGATTATAATGAAAATGCAGAGGAATTTACAGTTATTGGAAAAACATTATTGTTGTTCATTTCGTGCAAATGATTTGAAATTATTTTCAAAATCAACAAAACTGTCATAAAGGAAAGAGGATTTTTGAAAAATTTCTACCTGTGAGCATTGTTTGGTTTACATGTATATTTTTGTTGTGCATTTGTTTTTGTTAAAAAGTCGATTGTCATAAAAATCATCATTATGCTGTCACGTAAAAATAAAGACTTGAGAACAATTAAGGAAGGTGTTGTGGGTAAATATGTCAAGAAAGAGACTCCACCTGAAATGCCCAGTGAGTATAATAATGAATTTTCAATATTTTGTTGTTTATTTTATAGAAGATTATATTTGGTTTACTTGTTTTATTCCTTTTTTTATTTAGAGATAAAATTTTTAATTTTCGTTTTTTGACGATTTTTCTTGTATATTTTTACTTATTTTATCATTTTTATTTATTTGTCTACTTTTACGTATTTCTTTATTTTTATTTATTTCTTTATTTTTACTTATTTCTTTATTTTTACTTAATTTTTATTTTTACTAATTCTTAGTTTTACTAATTTTTATTTTTACTAATTTTTATTGTTACTTATTTATTATTTTTACTAATTTTTATTTTTATTTATTTCTTTGTTTCTTATTTATTTTTCTATTTTTACTTATTTGTTTATTTTTATTTAAAAATAGAATAGAATTTATTAATTATTAATTGTTAATTACAATAATTTGCCAAAAATTGAACATTTTTTTGAAGTTATTAACGTTTGGACAACGGAGCCAAACAGAAGGACAAGGAGGCAAAATAATCAGCGTACACTTTCAGCTTCAATGGTAAATAGAAAAAAAGTACAAGTAAAATGAATTTTTTTTTTATTTCTCGAATTTATTTTTGAAGTTAATAATGTTATTGTTTTTATTTTAGACAATATCACAACAACCGAGTATGGTGCAAAAATTTGGCAATACAAAAACAACAATGAGCGCAGTGGGATTGGGAAGTCACGAAGGGAAATATACACCGAACAGTTCCGTTCCTGATTTGGCTCAAAGGTTAAAAATTCGTTTCTCATTTTTTATTTTTTTATTAAAAAAAAAGGTTTGATAAAAAATGAACAATTTTTTTATCTTTAGTTATGTCATTATATTTAATTTCTATGTAATTGGATTTTATGACTTTTTCTATGTTTTAACTATTGATTTTTAATTTTTGAGAATTTAATTCCTTTATATGTAATTTTTTCTTTTTTAACACATTTGCTTTTTAATTTTTCCATTTTTGTTCATTTTTTTTAGTATTTAATTGCTTTATATGCCTTTTTTTCCTTTTTATCAAATAATTGTTACTTTCAGAAAATAATTAATACTTTTAGAGAATAATTTTTAATCTGACTAAATAATCGTTATTTTTATTAAATAATTGTTATTAATACAAAATAATTTTTAATTTGACTAAAAAAACGTTATTTTTACTACATAATTATTTTTATACCAAAAAATCGCTATTTTTTATCAAAGAATTGAAATTTTGACAAAATAATTAATATTTTTTAATAAAAAAATTTTATTTAGACTAAATAATTATTATTTTTATTAAATAATTGTTTTCTTTTACAAAATAGTTACAAATTTTTTAAAATAATTTTCATTTTGACTAAAAAATCGTTATTTTTATTAAATAATTGTTAATTTACAAAATAATGTTTAATTTGACTAAAAATTGATATTTTTACTAAATAATTGTTTACTTTTGTTAAATAATTCTTATTTTTACTACATAATTTTTTTTTATATTAAAAAATCGCTATTTTTGTCAAATAATCGTTAGTTTTTATAAATTATTAATTATTTTTACTAAACAATTTGTATTCTGACAAAATAATCGTTAATTTTATTAAATAATTTTTTTTACAATATAATTTTTTATTTTTACTAAATAATTTGTAATTTTTAATGTTTGGAGTATTTAATTGCGTTTTATACCCATTTTTCTTTTTTAACACATTTTATTCCGTTTTTTTAACTTCTGTTTTTTAATTTCTCTATTTTTGTTACCTTCTTTGAAAATTTTTAGTATTTTTAATAATTTTAATAATTTTATTATTTTAATTAAAATTTTTTAATTATTTCTTTAGTTTTTAAATGTTTTTTTTTGGTTTTTTTTGTATTTTTCTTCTTCTTTCTTTTTTGTGTTTTGTTTTTTGTATTTTTCTTCTTTTTTTTCTTCTTCTTTTCTTTTTTGTGTTTTGTTTTTCCTTTAATGTTGAAAATGTGTTTGATTTCTCTATTTTCTTCTTTTTTTCCACCAGATTCGCGAGTCTTTCGGTTCATTCGGGTTCGAGTGACGGAATGTCGTTAAGAGCCGCGACACCTTTATATAATCCAGGATTATCGCCGGCAATTTCTCACACCTATGTCAATCAATACGCCGGTTCCGAGTACCATTTGGACCGAGTTCAAACGCCCCAGTTGCCTCATCTTCCACTCGAAATTGACGCCGGTTACGAAGATTTTAATCAGTTGCCTTATCGTCACAATACTGGGTTTGTACTTCTCATTAGAATTTATAAATTATTTACCGTCACAATTTAATTATTATTTTATTTATTTTTCATTATTAATTGTTCTTCGTGTCAATTTAAATATTATTTTATTTAATTACTCATTATTAATTATTTACCGTTGCATTTCTATTAATTATTATTTTATTTACTCAACAAAAAAAAATATTTTATTTACTACTTATTACTTTATTTTTAATTTGAATGTCTGGAAATCTTTCTTGAGGAACGTTTCGAAAAATAATTTAATTTATAAAAAAAATGTTGCAGCTACAGTAGAGCGCTCTCGGAGAGATCCAGTTCAAGAAATGAACAAACGGAAGAACTTCCCTTGCCGCCGGGTTGGTCAGTGGATTTCACACTTCGCGGCAGAAAGTATTATATCGATCACAACACGAAGACAACTCACTGGTCTCATCCTCTGGAAAAAGAGGGGCTACCCACCGGCTGGGAGAGAATCGAATCTCCCGAATATGGAGTTTATTACGTAAAGTGAGCAATTTTTTTTAAATATAGCAAAAAAAGCTATAAGTTTAATTCATTTTTAGGATATTTTTATTCTTATACCTTTAATTAACTTTTATGGTATTTTTATTTTTATAATATTTACTATTTGATAGTTTAAAAGGGAATTTATTTAATTTTCAATAATTTTAATTTAATTTAATTTTTATAACTTTAATTCATTCTTTAATTTAATTTAATTAATTAATTTTGGAAATATTTTTCATTTCTATGAATTCAATTAATTTTTCTTTGTCTCACCCACAATAGTCATATTACAAGACAAGCACAATATGAGCATCCGTGTTATCCGCTGGACATGCAAGCGATACGTGTTGTCTCACCGCCGCGACACACACATTTTCACTCGCACAGTGTTTTGGTCCCGGCAAATCCCTATTTGCATGAGGAAATTCCCACGTGGCTGAGAGTTTACAGTCGTGCCTCCATCTCCTTGGACAGAAAACTCCGATGGGAATTATTCCGCTTACCCGAACTCGACTGTTTCAATGCAATGCTGACCCGACTCTATAAGGAGGAACTCGAGGAAGTCGTGATGCGATATGAAGAATATAGGTATTAAAAAAAATTCCCCACCTAAAAATTAGTACAAATTTTCATTATTTTTACTAAATAAACGTTATTTTATCTATAAATAATATTTTTTTTGACTAAAATAATTTTTATTTTGAACGAATAATCTTTATTTTTACTAAATAATTTTATCAAATATTTGTTATTTTTACCAAAAAAATTTAAATTTGACTAAAAATTGTTCTTCTTAAATAATTGTTATTTTAACTAAATAATTTTTTATTTATCTAAAAAAACGTTATTTTTCTAAAATATTTGTTATTTTTACTAAAGAATTGATATTTTAATTAAATTAATTTTATTTTTACTTAACATTCGTTATTGTACTAAATAATTATGTTTATTTTGTTTATTTTGATTAAATAATTGTAATTTTTATTAAAGAATCTTTATTTTCCAAAGTAATTGATAATTTTGCTAAATAATTCATATTTTTATTAATTAATTTCTATTTTGACTATGAAATAGTTATTTTTATAAAATAATTGTTATTTTTACAAAATAATTATTATTTTTACAAAAAATTTTATTTTAAATAAATAATTGATATTTTTTACTATATAATTGTTATTTTTACTGAATAATTGAAGTTTTTACTAAGTAACTTTTCATTTTACCAAATAATTGTTATTTTTATTAAATAAACATAATTAAATATTTACCTCTGGCAATTTTTCAATTTGCTTTCAGATCCGCACTTTTGTGCGAAATGGAGGAAAGATTAAAAGAATTGCATCCGGAGGCGAATGACGCAAATGCCGGTGCAATCGCATTACGTCGATCTCTACCTTAAACATCGAAGGAAAATCCCAAAATCATCGACTGAATAAGTGCCTCTTAAAATGAAAATTTATCTGAAATTGAAAACTAGTTAGTAAATACAGTAAATTCTGAAAATTGGGAAAATTGTCAAAATAGTTGAAATTAAAAAAAGCTTATCAATATTGTTTATTTTCAATTAATTGAAATTGAAAAAAGGAGAGAAAAAAAAGGAAAAAAAGATTTATTCCAATTTAAGCTATCAGCGAACAAATCGAAATCAAATCACATTTCGTTAAATATAAATAATTAAAGTTTATATAAAAGAAATATAATTAAAAGGAGAAATTGATAATTATTTAGAAACGAAAACGTCCGATAAATATTCTTCTATTTAATTAAAATGTGATTTTACTACAATTTTTTTGTATAAATAATCGAAGAGCATGGGATTTGTTGCCTAAAAAGATATATATATTTTTTTTGTAAGATATTTTATTGATTAATTTCTTAACTATTAACTATTAGTAATTATGTACAAGAATTTTAAGAAACTATTAAAAAAAAGAAGAACTATTGAAAAGAACTTTCAGGAGTTACTCTCTTCGGTCCAATTTTTATCAATCATCACCTCCACATCTCCAGTACCCTTTTTACTTTCCATATACTCTTTTCTCCTGTCAACTTCATATTCATTGACTCTTTTCATATTGAATCCGGAAAATTCAATGACTGTCGCATGAGGGACATTCATTACTTCAAGGTATTTTTGTGCTGAAAAATATGAAAATTTTTATTTACTATAAAATAAATATCTATTTTCATTATTTTTATAAATAAAATAAATTTTATTCATTTCATTTATTGTTATTTTTATGGTTTAAAATTTTTTTATTTTTATTAAAACAAACTGAGGAATGAAAATGAAATAAGATCACTTACTTTTTCCAGGACCTTCTGGAATGTGTTGTTTAAATGTCCAGTACAAGAAAAGAGAAACAAAATTCCATCCTAGAAATGCATAAATCCCAGATAATCGTCGAGTCATTTTTTGTGCATATTTGTGCTCTATAGGAGCCATTTTTGTCTTAAGTTTACGTTTCAACCAATTCATTCCCAACATTCTGTGTGGAAAAAAGAAACTTTACCTAATTTCCTTTTTAATAACAAAAAAAAATAATTATCGATCTCTTTTTACTTTTATTTATCATTAACACAAACTCCTTAATATCAAGTATAATATATTTTTGATTTTGTATAATTAATCAATTTAATTAATTAATATCTACATTAAAAAAAAGATATACATAAACATAAACTTATTAACTTCTTTTGGAAAAATTCGCATTCGTTGCTTAATAGATAGAAAAAAAACTGTAATTTTTGATTAAAAATATTTCTGATTTCAATAAATAATGAATGATTCAATGACTTTTTAAATCAATGATTTTAATTTAATTTTCTTTATAAGGAAATAAATTTTACATTTAAAATTATTATATTTACGATATTTTATATAAAGATATAAATAATATAAATGTAAACATAACCTCAAAAGATTACATGCACCTTTTAAATGTCTAAAAATTAACGTCATAATAGAAGTATGAATATTACTTTTACCTGTTAAATTTATTCTTGAACTGCTTGATTTAAAACGAATCACAAACTAATTCGGAAATTAGTTTACTAAATATTAAAATAATTTTTAAAATTTCTAAAGAGCTTTTCTATTTTTTTTCCGGAAAAGTCCAGCTGAGCAGACGATATTTTTTAGAATACACGTCTCTGATTGGCCAATATTAAATTCAGAGCTCAGGGGCGTATAAAATTTCCACCTTAATGTTAATTTAAATTGTTAGTTTATTTAAAATTCAAAAAGTAGTAATTAACAAATTTTTATTTTATAGCCAAATAAAAGATTTACTAATAAATCATTACTTGTGGCAAAGCAGAAAATTAAAAATGCAAAAAATTTAAATTTGTATTTAAAATTTAAAGAAACGGGAAAATTCCGAACAATACGCCCCTGCTTTCTCGGAGAAAAAAACTAAAAATTGATTGGTCGCTTCTAGCCATTGCGATGTCGCCAACATAACAAAACTATATTGTGCAAATCTTAACAAAATTTGCAAAAAGAAAAATTAATATTATAATTTTTATAACTTTCATTTTCTTTGGAGTTGTTTACGTTAACAATTTCTCCTTTCTCTTTATCACTTATTTTTTATTTAAAACCCAACCAAAATTATTTCTATCACTGTCGAAATATTTTTCTCTTGTCGTAAGCCTAATTTTTGCAAAAATTTAAAAATCTTACCCTTATTATTGAAACAATTTGTCGAAACAGAAAGGATCAAACGATTTTACACTTACTATGGAATTAACAAGACTTTCTCACATACGAAAATCGAATTACAATATAGAAAAAGAATTAATTTTCAAAGAGTACAAAATAATTAGAAAAAAATTGAAAATATTGACATCAGGATATCAGGGAATTTTATCGGTAGGTTGGCAGGGCCGTATTTATCTCTCATCCCACCCCGGGGGAAAAAAGGAGGTGTGGGAGGGAGACATACAGAGTGAAGAAGAAGAAGGGGTTCCGGCAATCGAATAAAAGGGGGAAGGAGGTGCAATTTCGCGCGTTGACCGGATTCTCAAATATTGTCGACAATTTTCTCATCATTTAGAATCGTCGTATAGTGAAAATAAATTGTTCCAGCGAATCTTTCCGTCCGTGATTATAAAAAATGTCCGTCATGGGAAAGGTAAGCGATCAAATTATCCCTGTATATACAATAACAGAAAATTTTGCACAAATTTATTTTCCATAGTCGGCGGTGGTCAATTTCTGTTTTATCTCCAACCCCTCTTGACTTATACCATTGGCTACTATAATTTTAATTATTGTCTTTTGTTTTATATTTTTGAAAATTCTTCGGTTATAAAAATTTGTTTACGTTTTTTTTTAAATATTCATATGGAAATTCCGGTTTATTCTCTCGGGCGCCGACATAGACACACACAGGCACATATACAAACCTGTTTTTTTTTCTCCGAGAGAGACAAATAAGCGTGGACGTCTCGTCATTATGAAATTTGATGTAACGATTTTTGGGGTTTCTAGACTCCCAATCATCCCTTATTGTAATTGTGTGTTCTTCATAATCTTCTAATTTAGCGAATCTGGCTCATAAATTACGAATTATTGGAAATTATTCGCTTTTTTAAGGGAAGAAAAGAGAGAATTTCTAAAAATATTTTTGTTTACTGGAAATTATTTTCAAATCATGGGGGAAATATAATTTTCGCAATATTTTGCCTGATGATGGGGTGGAGAACACATAACCTATAAAATTAAATAATTGAACAGAATTTATTCAAGAGGGTGGATTTTTTTTCCTTTCCTTTTTGCCGGACTATTAAAATTACTTTATTTCCTTGTGTCAAAAAATAGAAAATTGAGATATTTTTTTTTGTTTTTAAATTAGTTTCGAAATTTTAGTTATCGGTATCGTTTAATGCATTGTTTTTCTTTTTATTTGTATCGTTTTTATCGTTTTTATCACATAGTCGATAATGTCAATTTAGTTACGAGTTTTTAATTGTTGTTAATTATTATCTAAAAGCGCGTATTAATTATAAATTGATGGAAATTTTTTCATGAAGGAAAAAATATGCTAGAAAAAAAGAGAGAAAGTTAGAAATTTCAAGGTTATTACTGCGCCCACTTTTTGAACCTGTTTATTTATATTTAGAAAACATTTTTTTTCTAAAAACTAATATTTTTATTATGCAATTAAACAATTATGAAAAAGTGAAAAAATTATTTATGTGCAGCCTGTTCTCTACTCCTATTGGAGGAGTTCCTGTTCGTGGAGGGTGCGAATTGGTAATTATATTCAATTAAAAATCAATAAGGACATTTTTTTTTATTACGAGATAAATTCAATGTATTATTTATTTGTTTGTTTATTTACTTATTTATCATTAATTTTATTTTTTATTAATAATTTTTGTTATTTATTTAATAATCGTTTATTCATTCTTTATTTTTTTTATTAACTTCTTTGTGATGCGCTCCAAAACAAAAATTTCTAAAATACAAGAAATTTTAAGGTTATGTTTGTGTCATTTTTACCTTAATTACAACTTTCTTTGTTTATAATTTGAAACTATAATTAGTTTTTATCGACTATTTTAGAACTAATGAAAACTGGAACAACTCGTTTACATAAAAAAATTGCTCCTTTTTGTTTATTTTAATTTCTGAAATTACAGACATAACCTAAAATTTTTTGCTTCTTTGGTACTTTGGTTTTTCGAAACTTATTTTTTTATTATTTTATTAACTAAATTTTGTTATTTATTATTTTATCAACTAAATTTTATTATTCATTATTTTATTAACTTATTTTTTCGTTACTTATTATTGGATTATTATTTATTAACGCATTTTTGGTTTAATTAATTTAAATATTTTTTTTTTCCTCCGCAGCATTGAATCTAAAGGAAATACCGTACGATATAAAACCGATAAGTTTAGTGAAAAGCGGTGGCGAACAACATAGCAACGAATTTCGAGAAATAAATCCAATGGAACAGGTGCCTGCCCTTCACATCGACAATCATACTTTAATTGAATCTGTAAGTTTTTTTCGTCAGGAAAAAGAATTTTTTGAAAATATTTTTTTTCTTGATGAAAGAATTATTTTCTTTCATCAAGAAAAAAAATGTTTCTTAAAAAAAGAAAATAGTTTCTTGAAAAAAGAAAATAAAGACTTGATTTTTTTTCAGCTGAATATTCTGCAATATTTGGAGGAAACAAGACCACATCGTCCACTGATGCCAGCAGATCCAGTGAAAAGAGCGCGAGTTCGAGAGATTTGCGAAGTTATAGCAAGTGGAATTCAACCGCTTCAAAATTTGGTTGTTCTCATTTATGTTGGCGAGGAGCGTAAAAAAGAATGGGCACAACACTGGATCACACGAGGATTTACAGGTTTTTTTTTATTTTTAATTTATACTTCATATAGTTAAATTTAAAAGGCTGCTTTTTTCAAAAATTGATAAATTGATTAGAAAATAAATAAAATCATTGGAAAAAAGAAGTAAATGTTAATAAATTGATTTTAGCTGTGGAGAAATTGTTGTCATCGAGCGCGGGAAAATATTGCGTGGGCGATGAAATAACATTGGCCGACTGCTGTTTGGTGCCACAAATATTCAACGCAAGAAGGTTTCACGTTGATTTGAGACCATTCCCAACAATTTTGAGAGTCGATCGCCATTTGGAAAATCATCCGGCCTTCACTGCCGCTCATCCCAATAACCAGCCTGACTGTCCGCCCGAGGCAACCAAGTAGCAAGCAAGGCAGACCACACTCTTTCTCTTCTAAAAATTTTTCCTCTGGAGAAAAATTCAGAAGCTCGAAAGATGGTGGTCACTTTTTTCATTTTCACGGCTTTTTTGCGATAAAAGACTTTTTTTCTACTTCTATCAAGTTTTTTTTTAATTATTAATTATTAATTAAAAAATTTCGCTTTTTCAGAATTTTCTTTAAAAAGGCTAAACATTTTCCATTTTTCAATATTAAAAGTTTTTCCTGTTTTTTTTTTTTTCTATTTTCTCTTTTGATAATTTGGAAATTTTCGTTTTTGGTAATTTTCTATTTTACAAATTTTCCATTTTTTCCTTTCATTTCATTTCCTTTTCTTTTCTTTTTTCTTTTTGATAATTTTTTATTAATATTTGGAAAATTTTGATCGATAATAATTTTACAATTATTATTGTAATTTTTTGCAATAGTATAAAAAAGAAATTCAAAACTGAACAATTTTGATATTTTTTTTCTTGAAAATATAAATGAAACCTTTTGTTCTAAAAAAGCCGTGAATATTGAGTTCCGAAACAATTTTCAAATCGAGTAATTTTTCTACACCCTTTTTTACCACGTTTTTTGATAGAATAAGATTTGGAAATTCGTTTCGGAACTTCTTTACATTATGCAGAAATAATTAGCCTATTTTTCTCATTTTTTTGGTTCAAATTGTTTTATTTGTTGTAGAAATTTGCTTTCTATAATTCATTTGAATTGAAGTCTCTTTGGCAATTTTTTTGTTCGGAAAAAATTACTATTCATTTTTAAATTAATATTAAAGTTTCAATTTAATGAAATTTAAAATTTTAAATTAGAAATTAGAAATTCGAGATTTTTCGAATTTGATTTTATCTTTTTCGAATTATTACTTCGACTATTAAAAATTACCTCAATTGCCAAATTCGAAACTTGAAAGAAATTTTCATTTTTCAATGAAAATCGTTTTTGATAAAAATTATTTTTCATTCCAAAAGTAATTTTACTTTAAAAATAAAATATCGAAAGAAAGGCGGTGCTTCTTTGTTTCCAAAAAAACCGAATTTTTTATTCTTAAAAAAATCGTTCTTTTTTACGAAAAAAAATTCGTACCATTTTTTACGAAAAAAAATTCTTACGCTTTTTTTTACGAAAAGCGTAACATTTTTAAAATACAATAATTATTTTTAGAAAATGGAATTTTTTATTAAACTTTGCGATAAAAATGGTTTCTATCTTTTACATGAAACGATATAATTGTAATAAGAAATTACGCTTTAAAAAAATGCGTAAAAATTCTCGTTCCGGAGAGAATGAAAAAAAAGTCTTTGCAAAGTTCTTCCAATTTTTTCCGATTATTTTTTTATGGGGCACAAACTTTTTTATACATTATTATAAAAAGAAGTAACAAATAAATAAAGAAACAAATAAATAAATAAAAATAAATAGTAAAAATAAAAATCAAAAGTCAGGTTCTAAAATTGACTGATAACGGGGCAATATTATAATTAATCGATTAATTAATTTGTGTTTTTTTCTGTAACACTCAATTAATGTTTGTTAATAAATACACTTTATTAATTAATCGACTTTAATTAACTTTAACTACTTTAATTACTTTAATTAGTTAATTAGTACCGAAATTTCGAGAAATTGAAAATCAAAAACTAAAAATTGAAAATCGGAAATTAGTTTTCGATTTCTATTTCCAATTTTCGATTTTCAATTTTAAAATAAATAATTGGAAATTAAAAATTGAAAATCAAAAATTGTAATTTGGGAATTTTCTCAAACTTTTCTCGAATAATTTTTACACAGTTCGTTTTCTTTTTAAACAATATGTGTTAATTCAAAGAAAAAAAAGTTTGTTAAAGCATTTAATTATTGTTAATTTTTTTCGAATTTTTCCTTTTTTTTTTAATTAGTTGTAGTTTCAAAGACAATATTTATAAATTATATATGTGTAGCAATATTTTCACACGCAGATTTCAATAATATTCTTTTGTGATATTAATTTAAATGCTCGGCAGCAAAAGAAAAAAAAAGTACAATTTTAGAACCTTCGAGAGAATGAAAAATTGAGAAAAAAAACAAGTAAACTTCGACTAGTGATATATGCCTAATGTAAAAAGTGTTAGATGTTTACACCGAAGTTAAGAAACGAACAAAAAAAAAATAAATAAATAAAAATTGTGAAAAATGTGTTGTCCTTAAGTAAGCTGCTTATTGTCCTCGAAATAATTGTCAAATGAAATTAATCTGAGCGTCTATTGAGGGAATATTCAAAAATTTATAAACTTGTGTTTATAAAAGTATTTTTTTTTTACTTTTGATACCTACAAGTTTAAAAAATATATTTTGATAAAAAAATTCTGTTATATTTTTTCGAATCTTTAGTATTTTATTATTTTTTATTTTCTATTATATTTTCTATTCATTATGTTTTTATTTATTTATTTTTTAGTATATTAAATAAAAATTCATTCAAAATATTAAAAAATTTTGAATTTTATTTGTTTTCTTGTTTTATGTAAAAAAAAAATTAAAATAGAAAATATTAAAAATCTTTTGATTATTTAGAACAATTTTAATATTTTCTTTCGGAATTTTTTTTCTACTCTTAATTTTTTGCCCCTGAAAATTTTTAATTTTATTCAAATCGAAAATAAAACAATTCAATTTTTTTTCAATAGAAATAAATTCAAATAAAAAATATTAAAATTGTTCTTTTGATTATATAAAACAATTTTAATATTTTCTTTTTGGAATTTTTTTTTCTAATTCTATTTTTTTTCCCCGTTGGAATATGTACTTATTCCCTCAGTGGACAATTGAGATTAATTTCCCACGAGTTTAGAAAAGAAAATAACAATGAAAACTTGTAAAAACAAATTTCAAAAATTTGTTTAAAACATTCTAAAAAGTAAATATTGTTGACGAACGATTGTGATTTTTAGCATTCCGTATTTTTACATTCTGTGAGATTTCTTTATGTCTTCTGATGATAGTTATTTTCATTTATCGATAAAATATTGTCAAAACTTCGTATGTATTTTATTATCGAAAAAAATTGTTCGAAAACGACAAAAATTTGAGATTTATGTTTCAAATCTTCAATTTTATTGTTTATACGGGAAAATTCTAAATATTTTCGAATTCGTATCATAAATTTTCAAACTTTGTGTTTCTTTCTGTTGAAAGAATTTTTAATTTTGTTGCTTCGTGTCTTTTTATCAAAATTGTTAAAATATTTCGAAATTTAATATTTTTTACTGTATTTTTTAATATTTATTTAACTTTCATTGTTTGAAATTAAACCTAATTTTTGTTTTAATTTCCATTTTTTTCATCACGATTTTTAATTCTTTTTAAATTAATTAATTTTTTATCATTTTGATTGTTAATAAGTGAAAATTCGTTGCGTGTTCAACTTGATCAATTTTATTGAAATTTTAAAAACTATTTTTTAATTTTTTTTTAAACTTTTTAATTTTTGAAAAATTTTATTAAAATTATTTTTAAATTTTCGTTTTATATTTCACGTTTCAATAATCAACTAGTAATTTAATTTACTTTACCTTTTAACAACTGAAATCAATAGAGAAATTTTTACAATCAAAAAAGAATTGGAGAGAATTTTTTTCGATAATTCAATGCAGAGAATGGAGTAAAATAAAAAATAGGAAATTTTCATTTAAAAATGGAAAGAGGAAAAAAATTGTTACTTTAAATTTGAACTTGGTCCTAATGTAAGTAGAATGTAACTTTTTAGATAAGTATATCTGGGTATTAGGCGTTTAAGAAGTGAGATTGTTAGGAGAGTGGATGCAAGCCTGTATAAAATGAATAATTAATTAGTTTAGGAATTAATAATAAACATAATGAACAGACTCATAGATATTTTATAAGTGAAAGTGATCATGTACGTTTATTATGCTTTATAGAGAACAATAAATTCTGTGTCATAGTAATTTAGCTTTTTTCATTTCAAACTATGTAAAGGAAAAAATTCCGAAAAAATTTCAACTAAAAGAAAAAATTCCAAAAAAAATTTCAAACTAAAGGAAAAAATTCCAAACAAACTTTCAACTAAAAGCAAAATTGAAATATTGAATTAATTAATAGAAATTAATTTCTACTTACTTTTATGCTTTCGGAAAATTCCAAATTTTTCGAACAGTTTTCTCTTCACCATAAAAAAAAACTCTAAAAAACCTAAGAACAAATTTTCTCGTAAAAATCGAGAATTAAAAATGACTTTTATTCTATTTTTATTGTTTCGTTTGTAAGAAAATAATGAATAATAATTAATTAATTAAATTTTGTTCCACAAGTTTATTTCACTTTCAAGTAAAATCATTTTAACAATCAGTGCTAAATAGTTAAACAATAAAAAAAAATTCTCATTGCGGTATTTTTTTTTGTTTTCAATTACAGATTTAAAACTAGTTTATTTTCCCTTTATTTCTTTTTCTCTTTTATAAAAAAATACATTTATTTAAAATATTGACTAGTTTTTGTCGCATGTAAATAATTCTATCGATACCAATAATAATGAAATGCAAATAGAGATCTGTTTTTTTTGTTAATGATTATTATAATATTTTGTTTAAAATCGCAGAATTGGAACAAAAATGAGAATGTATACCTTTTTTTTCTCGTTTTTATACATTTGAGCCAATTATTATTTTCTTTGAAATCTTTTTTTTTCTAATAAACTTTTTTTAGATAAAATTTTTATTTTCTAAACTACATAACTTTTTGTGCAGATGTGAGACGAACACTTACAATTAGAAATCGTATTTTATTTATAAGACGATTTTAACGCTTAAATTAAAAATTATTTTTCTCTTTTTACACTATATTTACATTTTTTTTTTTTTTTTTTTGTTAAAAATATATCATTGAACTTGGTTTCAAATTTTCATTTTATCAAAATTGAGGAAGATTTTATTTCGATTTTCAATTTTATTTTTATTTTTTCAATTTTCCAAAAAAAAATACCAAAAGGCGTACTTTTTGGAATTTTTTTTGAAAAATAGTATAAAAAATAGAAATTTACAAAAAATTCTTCAATTTTGACAAAATTCCGTAAGCTCGTAATCTTATAATTATTATTAGACACAATTTGGTTTTTGAAAACAATTTTTCTTCAAAAACATTTTTTTTAAATTATTCCTACAAATATTTCGGTTGAAAAAATTATTTCTTAGGGAAAAAAATTGTTTTTCTCCCAC